GGGAGTCAAGGTCACTGGTACACACGACTGTACATAAAGTAAGCAACAAGGCCTTCTGTGGAGTCTGGGGAACTGTATTCGGTACCTTGTAGTAACCTAGAAGGAAAAAGAACACGAAAAGGAATATATATATGTACACGCATGACTATGGCATTATGCTGTACACCAGAAATTGATGCAACGTGGTAAACTGACTATACTTCAATTGAAAAAGAAAGTGTTCAGCCTAGGAGTGTGACCAAGCTATATGCCCTCTGGCATGAAACTGACGCACGTGTCCTAACACAGTGAATCAGCAAAGACACGCACAGGGAGCTCTGACATCAGCCCCTCCTCGGGGACCTGGTTCTGAGCCTCAGCCATTTTTTTCCCCAGGGATCCGTGTGCATCTTCCGCTGTGTGTCCCGCGACTCGCACCAATCAGGTCATCTTTCATTCCAGGACTCCTATAAACCCATCATAGCATTTGAGATCCAGTGATGTTCTCTGAGTCTTTACCTCTGGATTGCTGAGGAACAATGTGCTTTACTCTCTTTTGTTTATAAAACACAGGCGGTGGTTCGGGGCGGTGACAGCTTTCTCATCTGCGTCCTGAGCACACTTCTCGGTATCTGTGTTCCCTTTTGTGGCTGCATTTTCTCTGCAGAATCTGAGAGCTATTTTTATCATGTGGTAATGAGAAGAGGAACTAAAAGCATCGGGGGCCCTTTATGCTGAAGGTCCCAACAGAAAATAGATTTTCTCCTCATTGTAGGATGAAAACCGTCATGTACAACTACAAAAAATATTTCATAGTTTCTCCACCTGATGACGACTACATTACAGAAGTGTGAGCAGTCCAGCTTCCACCCCGAGGGTGACACTACCATATGAAACGTGGGTGTGGGCGTGTGCATGTGTGGAACGGAATAAAATGCATAATGGTGTTCACCGCAATGCGCTGCAGATTGTAAATGTACTAAATCTGTTTTCTAGATAATCATACATTGCATTTTTTCAATCCACTTGGTCACTCAAATAAAAGTAGTATCTTATAATTTTATGCATTTTCTTAATTTTAAGGTTTTCTCATCATTTTTATTTTAAGTGCTTGTGGTTTGCTCCTCTTTGCTTGATTAGGTTGCTCAGCGGCTTGTTGATTCTGTTTTCTTCCAAGACCTCGATTTTAGACTGTGTGTCTGTTCTATTTATTTGCTTCCAAACTCATTGATTACCGGTTTTAATTTATCAGTTCCTCTCTTCTCCCTCTTTTGGTCTCATTATTGTCTTGTTCTCACTTTTTTACGTGCATGTTTCTCCTTGGAGCGCCCTGCTCAGGTTGGCTCGTTCCTAGGCCCCCAGCTGCTCTCACACCGTGCGTTTCCCCTGCGCTTCCCCAGGAGTCAAGCCGAATTGCAGACTGGGCTGCAGTTTTCAGATTAGCTCCCTGAACTTTCTGTACCAGGTGGAGAGCCCTCAGTCTGAGGATTGCTACTTGTGGGTGGGCTCGCGTCTTAGAACTGTTCGAGGTGCGCTTGCCTTTCCTGCTTCCTTCCCCGTGGTTGCTCACACCCGGCCAGATCTTTGCGGTCTTGCTGGCTCAGCCCGTCCACCTGCACACGGAGGTCCTGGGAGAAACCTTGCTGTTACTCATTTTGCCTGGATGTAACCTGTCTGAAGGATTCAGTCATTTGGTCATTCACTTTCCTTTTTTTTTTTTTTGTATTTTTGCAGGGGGAGAATTAGGGATCTTCAAAGACTATAAAATTGCCTCCAACTTCTTTTGACTTATTTTTTAAATGACCACTCTGGCTGCTAAACCAGTGAGGATGCAAGTCAGGAATGGCACCTGGGTACCAGTTGCAGGGCTGTCATGGTGGTCCAGGTGGGAGAGGCTGGTGGCTTGGACACTTTGAAGGTTTGTTCAGAGAAAGCCTCTCTCAAGGACCAGCTTTTGAGCTGAAGCCAGAAGGAGGAGAGGAGGCATGTGAAGAGACAGGAAGAGAGCCTCCCAGACATCTGCTGGGCCAGGTGGGAGGGGTGGGTGGGAGCATGAGCTGCAGAGACCGTGATTCAGGGAAGGATGAGAGAAGGAGGGAAAGGCCAGTCCCCACCTTGGAAACCCTCTCAGGGGTTTGAGACGCTAGGAAGTCATCCAGGTCACAGATTGGAGCGCATTGTCTCCTGCGAGACAATGTCATAGGAGCAGAAGGGGAGGAGGGCCGACCGAGGCACCAGGATCTCACCGTTGCATCAGAGGGAAAAAAATGATCTAATCTGATCTGAGGATTAATCTAAGTCTTTTCTGGAAAAAAAATATTTTATACCTTGAAGGAGAAGTGCTATTTCAGTAGATGGGAAGAGAGGGAGCCAGCACTTTCCACACTTTTTCAGACTGAGAAAAACTAGTTCCAATGAAAAGTGTGCTGGTTTATTAAAGTTCACCCTGTAAATACCCTCCCACCCTAAATAATCTCCCCCAAAGTGAAATTAAGGCATGCTAAATTAGCCTCCGCCCGGTTTTATTCTCACGGATGGTATAGGAGCCTCTTAGGAAAACTCTGATGCCAATGGTCCTGTTTTATTTTGAGAACTCACTTGTATGAACAGCAGAGGGGAAATCAGTTAAGTTTTCAAAGAAGCTGAAGTACCATGTTTGCTCTGGGGCCCCGTTCCCCCTTGAGAAGCCCGAGTACTTGGTGGGGGTCTTAACCACGTTTCACTGGCATAGAGTCTAACGATAATTACGGTTCATAGAAAACATCTTCAACTAATACGTGTGCACAGTGCTTTACATACATCGCCTCACACATCACGGCGACCCTTGGAAACAGGTCATATCCTTATGTCCACTTTACAGATGCGTCCACTGAGGCTCAGTGAGGTTCAGGCTACATTCAGCAACGTCCCTCTGTGAAATTCCAGCTGACCCTTGAAGCCAAGGCTCTGGTTCCTGTACCCCACAGAGATGAAGTCTCTGTTTCACTGACATTTCAGAGCACCCTGCCTTGGAAGCTGTGTGCTGTCAGCATTTTTAACCAGATATTTAAAGACCTATTTGACCTCTTTCTTAGGACAAATTTCATTTTCTGGCTCTTTGAAACAGGGCGGAAGTTGCTCCTAAATAAATAAATATAGCATAAACACCACCAGAACTGTGTTTTCAAGGGCTAATTTAAACTTTTTGTAAGTGCGTTTGATTTTAGGACGGATCGTTCTGTGATGCAAATAAAGTTCAGCTCTGCTGTGTCCTTGTTTAAAAGCTAGCCGCGTGCCTTTTTCCCCAAGAGCCTTCACATGGCGGGGTTTGTTTCATCACTTTCAGATTACTTGATCAACAGCCTGCAACACAAAACTCAATTTTATCCCCTGTGAAAATGTTCGGGCTAATGGTTTCAGACTTTGTTGCTCAATTTATCTGCCTGTTAGAAGGAGTCATTAAGTGGAAGAAACTCGCTTTGGGAAATAAGGAGTTTTTCATTTGCTGGTAGAGGCATTTTCTTTATAAAGGCATCATTAATCACATAGTTAAACCACTAATTCAAAATGTTTTACTTTGATTTGCTTTATTTTCCTGAACTACACTAAGCACCAGTCTGTCATGTGTAGGCAGGTAATGACCAAAGGCCTCTGTGTCCCGTCTGTCGTTAAAGATTAATACTAACCCTGCGTTGCATTTCTCTTGTCACATGTGCCTGGTGTGCATCTGTGTGTCTGTGTGTGTGTCTGTGTCTGTCTGTGAGCAAGAAAGAAGCCACTCAAGCACAGGTGTGAGAGATTTTCCACCAACAAAGAAATCACCTGTTCACAATGTATCAACTCTAGAAGCCAGCTGCCTAAATTTATAAAATGTATCAAATGTAGGTATTTACCTTGCAGTTGCTGTGACTTCGGTCTTATTTCTGTTGGTGTCTTTTTCGCTGCTTTCAATGAAAAGAGTTAATTTCTATGCTTTCCATTACACATGGGTAGTGTTTTGAAGGAACGAATATGTTCTAGCTCCTTAAAAAGGATTTACTAAAAGTAAATATTTGGAGCATTACTGAAAGATAAAAAGCAGGATGTTTTGGTGGAAAAGCAATAGATTGGGAAGCAAAGAGTCTTCTGTTTTGTTTCCAGTCTGCCACTAACTTGCTCTATAATGCAGATCCCAGAAACTCTTGGGGCTTGAACTTCCCACAGTTGCAAAATGACAAAGTTAAAGCTCGTGATTTTTTTATTTTCTTCTACATCTTGCGTACCATGATGTCAAACTATCGTTTTGTGTTTAGATGAAGAAACCAAGTTTCTAAGAATACAGAATGTATTTTCTTCCCTCACCTACCTTGCCATTTTACAATCTTTTATATTCTGTTGTTTGATTAGAAGGTTCTGAACCACTGGGTAAAGGTCTTATCTTGAATGAAGAAAATAATAAAAAATGATAAATGCCTTGGTAGTGCCTATTTTTATTTTTTTTCCAAAAGGTAGAAAGCAATTGCGCTGTGTTGAATGTCTTGCATAAGCTAAACCTAAAGACAAAGTCATTACTATTCCCTCCGTGTGGTGTCGTGAGCTGGGGTTGATAAAACTTGGCATTTGCTAGCGTGGTTTATGCACTTCCGGGGAGAATCTTGTTCTTACTCTCTATTTTGCCTGTCAAAACAGAGCAGTGGAGAAATGTAACTGAAAGTATCAGTAGACCACCCACCTTGCTCTAACTTATTTGAAAACGTTTCCTATTTTAAGTGTAGGAGGTTGATAGCTTGCCTGCCATTGGTGGTGCTGATAAAAGAAACCATAGCAACCAGCGCCGCCGGCAGTGAAGCGGGGCATCCTACACCACAATGCACCGCAGTCATTTACCTGGTGGTCTTCCTGTGCTTTTTTCCGTCCTGAGAAAGCCAAATGTAGTGTAACGAGTATGAGTTTTGGACTCGGGCTGGTCCTGGTTGGGCAACTTGGGCGTTATTAAATCCTGGTCATCTAATTGTCACCACTGTGAAATGGGGACAGTAGTGCCTACTTCAAAGGTGCGTGTGATGTTCGGTGAAATGCCATCACTGTTTCCACCGTACCCATCAGCAACTGTTGTTTCCCAGGCGTGGAAGTGAGGACTAAGAAAAGCAGGGTCCTTATCCCAGTGGGTCTTATATTCCTGCAAATTATAAAGAGATACATATACAGTGGCTTGAAGTGAGAGTTACCAGACACACATTGTATTTATTAAAAAAAATTTTTTTTTTAATAGAAGTACTTGGGACTGAACCCAGGACCTCCTGCATGCTAGGCATGGGCTTTATCACTGAGCTATGTCCTCCCCCCATTTCCTTCTTTCAACCACCAATTTGCTCTCCGTTTCTATAATTTTGTCATTTCCAGACTATTATATTAATGTAATCATACGTGTAACCTTTTGGTACTGGCTGTATTCATTCAGCATATTTCTCTGAAGATTTATTGAGATTGATGTGTATGTCAGCAGATTTTTCCTTTTTGATTGCTAAGTAGTATTCCATGGTATTGACATGCCATAGTGTTTTATCAACCGTTCTCCCACTGAAGATGTTTGTTCCCAGTTTTGGGCTCTTATGAATCAAGCTGCTGTGAACATCTGTGTCAAGGTTTTGTGCACAAAATGTAAGTCTTCATTTCTCTTGATAAATGACCAAGGGTGGGATTGCTGGGTTGCATGGTGGTTGCATGTAACAGTCATTTCCATTTTTACAGACACAGTCCATAAAGTAACACCTCAATGCTGGAGATCACGCAGGGAGGCCTTTTGTAAGTTGAATTACTGTTCATAAATTAAATCACATTTTCGATATAATAGCATGGCTGTGTATTTTGGAAAATGAAGAATGAAGAAAAATGTCTACATTAGTAATAATTATTCTGCAGTTATTAGCTTTATTCCACAGTTCCCTAATTGCTAGCTTTGGTATGTATATTGGATTTTTAATGGACAGCCTCAAATGCGTTTCTACAGCAAGTGTCCCTTTCACAAGAGACAGAGTTAACGATGTGCCCCTCTGTCACTCCTTGACCTTTCTGACAATTGGTTATTATCCTGTCCCCAGGTATAATGTTTTCATAATCCAGTATTTACAATAGGCTTAGATATTTAAGTTTTGCTCTATTTGGATTCCAGCAAAACTTCTCTTTCTTTTTCTCTGCATTGCTTGTCATCAAAGAGCAATAAGCTATTTCAACACTAAGACATTTGGGAAGACGAGGAAGACCAATGAAACACTCACGGTTCTCGGGTGGTCACACTGTTTGCATATTACGACTCCTTGACGCAACTGCAAGGTCACAGACTTAACGTAATTCTTTATACAAAACAAACACTTGACTTACACAAACTTTTTTCCCCCAAAGTTATCTAATAGATAAAGGTTTAAGGAAAGTATTGCTCTGATTCCTTTGACTAAAGGGTTTATGTGTTTTTTTAACTCTCTAGATTGAAGTAGACTTTTCAGTGTGTGCCGCTCAGTTTTTTTCTTTAATATGCAGAAATATATTTCACAGAGTTGCACAAATTTATTCTAATTAGGAAGTCTGACTCAAACACTATTTAAAAATGTGATACATGTTAATGCCTTCAGATAAATTTGATTTATTAACTTCTTACCTTATACTTTTTGAAAAGGACAAATTCATCCATCTGTTGCAAGTTTTATTATAACCTATGAAATCACTGTAATTAGCCATAAAAATCTCTAAAGAAAAGTACACGGAATTAGTGCCTGAGTGAGATTTCCATTATATACAAAATGCTCACAGCACGTCACCCATGAAGTTTCCGCCTGACTCGTGGGTGTGAATGTCTGTGTGCAAGGCTGGAGCAAAACATTTCTGATCTATGATCATATCATTCTAATATAATAGCTCTCTCCTGCGTCAAGGTGTTTGATCCAATGGGAATTACATTAACTGACAGTAGAAACGAAAATCATTATTAGCCAGGCAATCTAAAGAGAACACTTGCGTTGTTTTGCTGAGAATGAGTTTTGAACTTAGTAACTATTAATCTTTCGAAAAGTAAGAAATGATCATTGTACTCTGATCAATCAAACACTATTAGGTTTCCCTACTGAATAGGTTTCTAAGGGTCTGTGTGTGGAGAGACTCGAGGAAAAGATGCTTTGGACCACCACTTAAGGGCATTTCCCCCAAATCCTAGCTGGTCAGTTGAGCCATGCGTGATTATCAGGAATACTTTAGCTTAAGACCAAGTGCTAAGCTGGCCAGAACCTCCTCACTCCCTTTCCCCAGACCATCACAGGAGCCACCTTCAGGAGAGGACACCTGGAACATGGAGGAACAAATCTGACTCTGTATTAGATCTGTTCCTCTAGCTCTAACCCTGTGCTCGGTTTCCTGGGCTCAGTCATGCTGGTTCTGCACCTTTTGTAAGAGAATGTTGCCTGGAGCCTGAAATAGACAGGACAGCCCATTCTCAAGGCTCTGACCTTTAAGGATATTAACATTTTTCCATTCATATAGAGATAAAAAGTTGCAGCATAGAGAATAACATTTGTCTTGTTGGAGGTTTATAGGGACATCATGATCTGACCCACATGGACAGCTGCAAGAACAAAGGATTCTGACCTCAAGAAACTTACAACAACCAACCACACCCCCTCCCCTTTTTAGTATTCTGACTTGGGGAAGATGGTTCTCTAGGACATTAGTCCCCCATCTTCTTGGTCTGTCAACTTTCCAAATAAAGTCATTATTCCTTGTCTCAACACCTCATCTCCCGATTGATTGACCTGTTGTGTGGTGAGCAGAATGAGTTTGGACTCAGGAACAATTCTGCAAGTAATCTATATTTTCTCATGAACAGTAAATGCTGCTTTCATTAAGTGTTAAACAATTCAATGATATTTTTAAATAGTGGTCTCTTATCTGATTCTCTGAGATGCTGGTTTGGTGTAGTCAAGTTTGGATTTTATTAGGCAATTAGATCTTTAGGATGACTGTATGCTTAATGAAACCATAATGCATTTGCTGAATAAAATGAATCCTGCCTGTGTCAATCTCCGATATTTAGTACTTGGATTGAAAGGTGCTGGATTTTTTTTTTGATAGATCTAAAGGACAATTTAAAAATTCATGTGGTGTACTGCAGAAAGACTCATAAAACTGACATTCCCAATTCATTATACAGAGTCTCTGAGTCATATCGTAAACCCGAGTTGTAATTTGATAGTAGAAAATTTCATCACATATTGGGGCCCCACCATATGTGACTAGCATCTCAAGCAATTATTCTGAAAACTGCCTCTTACACTGAAAATATGACAATTTTACAGAATGCTATGTTTATTACTGAGTTTCCAAGGGAATTATTTTAGTTAAAACAGAAAAATAAGGAAAGAAGGAAGGAAGGGAGGGAAGGAGGAAGGAAGGAAGGGAGGGAGGGAGGAAGGAGTGAAGGAAGGAAGGAAGGAAGGAGTGAAGGAAGGAAGGGAAAAGAAAGACGAATAGAATCCACCTGGTTGTCTCTGTGGTTACTACATGGAGGCCCAAGAACAGCAGACTCTGGGACCACATGGCTCAGTATTAACAGTTGTTTAGTCGCTCTTTTGGCAAATTGTTACAATCAAGAAATGCCTTCTGATGAATGGTTTTCAACTCCAGAGAACAGGGACATCACAGTATATTGACAAAAATCAGTATTTTACTAGATTCACTGAATTCTAAATCTATGAATATTTTCATCCTTGGCACTATGTTCTTTAAAAAATGTTTTCAGGGATGAAATAACATAAAAACGTAAGTTTTTGTGTCAGCACCATCTTTCATCTCCTTTTCTTCTCACCTACCTTTCTGTGTGTCCTGAACGAGATGCTGAGTCCAGCGATGTCTTAATTATTATAGCATTTTATGTATCATTGTAGAAAATAACACATTGCCCACTTTTTTTTAATAAACATATAAACGTGTCAGATATGCTAATGTACACATTTTGAATGAGGTCATCCATTTTTGAAAATTAAATAAAGCTTTTTTTTCAGAATTCATAAAACAAGTACACGAGCAAGCCACCCTAAATAAGTAGGTAAAGTAATTTTGAAAAGAGTATTTGTTGTGTTTTATTTTCTAACACTCTAAGAGCCACAATAACCTTTGCTGTATATACTGTTAAATGATTTATTAGTAAACTCATCTCTTTGCCAAACCCAATGGCACGGAAAAATCGAGCATCAATTATTACCTGAAATGTTGATTTTTAGTTTGGGAACTGCATGAAGAATGCTACCAAGGGGACAGTCGGCCCCTGTCATCTCGGACCATTCTGGTTTGCCCCTGTCGTCCTGGTGTAATTATTAATGGTGCCTCCTTTCACTCTTAGAGTGAGTGTCCTGGTTTGTGATAATAACTTATATTGTCACCCTAGTCATGACACATTCTTCTGATTTTAAAAGATAAAAATTTTCCAAAGTGACATCTGGATAGATGGCAAAAGAATTTCTTTCCCAGACATTTATAAATATTAGTTGTTTATAGCTGCACAAGACACTGGGAGGGCAATTGACCTTGGTCGTTCTAGAAACCAACAGGATTATAATTGTTAACAAGGCCAAGTTTTCATTCTTAATCACAGGTTTCCTCTGGAAATTCATGTCACCCTCAAAATCACTTAACCATTAAAAGGGCACTTTTGATAATGAAGATCAGTTGAGTCTTACCCTGAAAGGGTGTGAACACACACACCATCACCTTTGCTTCTGACAGAGGAACTCGAGTTTAGATCCATCGCAGTCCGCTAACAAAGGACCTTAGAGAGGCAATTTCTTCAGAAGTGCTGGGCTCGTTTCCTTATTTCTGAAGAGCTGATCCAGATCGAGGGTCTTCAGAGGTGGGCGTGCTGACCACTGCTGACCAGCACGAGGTGCTCTCCAGTCTGTGGCATCATGCAAGAGAGTAAAATCCTTCTTTCTGGAGTTGAATTTATTCAGTGCAGGCATTCGTGTTTTACTCTGAGATAAGACAAGCTCAGTAGATTTTGATGTGGCGCTAGTGTTAGGAAATCGGTACATTTCTTAGATCCTGTTAACCAATACATTGTATCAAATGTAGCTAAATGGCATGTGCTAACTCAAAGGAAGAGTTACGCAAAACAGATCTGAGGGCTCAGTAAACCTTGTGTGTCAGTGGTTGTCACTAGTGCCATTAGGATGGACAGAGATTGGTCACCCCATCTTTATGCTTTGAATGAACGTATTCCCATTGGTTCTAATTATGTTCCATGGAAATTGATGGCACATGAGAATATCAAACCCCAGTGAATATAAGACCTCATTAGGATGTGTGGAAATTCAATAACTCAGAATGGGAATAGCCATGAACGACTACTGCTCCAACGCTGCCTTGTATTAGAGTTAGAAGCAGAGCCTTGGAAAGGAGATAATAAATGTGTTTTCCACGGGGAAAGGCGTTTCTTTTAGTGAGTGCCCAGGTGTGCTCTTTGAACTCAGAACAAAATTTCCTATGATTTGCTTCCTTTCATCCTATGATTGTTCTTGTAGGACTGTTGGAATAAACAGGGTAGCCCCACAGGAGACCATCTCACTGGCTTTAAAGAGAAAGATAAGAGGGCTGGAAAAAAAGGAGAAAAGCTTTTATAGAACCAGAGGAAGCAACTTCAATACTCAGCCTGGCATTAAAGCCATGCAAGGCATGAAAGACATAGTATGAGTTCTGTTAATAGTAAATTTGCCGTAGAAAGGTGGGGGAAAATGCCCTGTAGGAAGGAGAATTGGGATATTATGAACATTATCATTAAGTCTATTCCAGTTCTTGATGCTAATTTCTAGTCCAGCATCCATTCTGAAAAGAGAAAAGAGGTTAAAAAGGGGTGGGGGGGATGATCATCCTTTTGTCTGAGAAAAAATGCTGGCAAACAAAGAAAACCAGACAACATGCACATTCTCGGGAGCTCGGCTCACAGCACGTTTACTGACTAAACTATGAATTAATGCACGTTTACTGAGCACCCAGCCTACAAACTGAGAAGCTCTTGATCCCGGATGCTTCTGGGGAAGGTTACTGTCCAGGGACAGACTGAGGAGCAGGGTGGAGCAATGTGAGCTCACGTTACTCGGGTGAGGTCCACATCCTGGGTCCTGAGTAGGGAGAGTGTTTGATTAAATATTCCACAGAGAGGAGTCATTCCTTAGAGAAAATGGCATGGGGGAAGTGGAATTTGAGCTGAGTTATGAACAACAACAGCAAAAAAGGTTTGGACTGAATTCAGGCGGAGGAGGAAAGGCATCTGAAGGAGAAGAAACTGTGAAGTGAGTCCGTGAAGCTGGCGTGAAAACACTGACTCTAGGAGACTGGAAGGAAAGTGGCCCAATTCGAGTAAGTGATGCTCACCTCTAGACAGCCTTTCTTTGTTTGGTAAGTTTATAAATGCAAAAAAAAAAATCTAGAAAATAAACTTGTGCGCTCTGAAGAGGAAATACTCCCAAACTGTCCTGTCCACGACTTGTTCCCAACTTGTGGCCTGTTTTGAGTTTGCTTGTGAGAAGCTTTCAATGCCTTTATGAGTATTCTCTATGTCTTATATATTTATACACATATCATTGTATTATTTTCTGTTTTTTAACTTTAAAAAAAATAGTTAACAACATGGAATAGTTATATTTTCCCATCGTTTACCTTGTATCTTTTAACAGCTGCCTGATAGTCTTTCCTATCAATATATCATTATCAGGCAACCTGTATCCCATTGATAAACACTCAGCTTGTATCTGAGATTTTCCAGTACAAACAACTTTAGGAGGAGTGAAATAAATGCACTGTGTGTTTACACACAATCAAACCATGTCTGTATACTCTTAGATGTGGAATTGATAAATCAAGGCAAAGTCCATTTACAAACATAACAGATACTGCTGGTCACCCCCTGTATTATTCCAAAGTGTCACCCCATCAATGGCATTGGAGAGGAAGGTGGGTAGAGATTCAGACGAGACCAAGTACAGTCAGGACGTCAGCTGGATAAGAAGCTGGGAGACAGCTGAGAAAATCTCTTCAATCTAATTTCATTGATTCTATTGCTGCAAAACCAGCCTCTGTACCCTGAAAACCGAACTGAGACTCAGAGGCAGAGTCTGGGGAAAATCAGAAAAGAACAGCTTTCCTGTTTCATCAGGCAGAGGCAGGTCACAGCAGGCTCACGCCTTGGGGACTGTGAATCCATCCTGGGGTTGAGGTCCTGAGGTTTTATAGAGAACTGGATGGGACAGAAAAGGTGACAACAACCAGGGCGCTTTCCAGGGTGCTGCTACATTCCCCTTAACCTGGGTGAATCTTTCTGGCATCAGGAGGAACTCCT